ACTCAAAATAGCTACCGAAAAGCACGCTGCCAACCGTAGCAATCACCCAAGACGAGCACACATGCACTCGGCGTTTGCGACACCCGAGCTACGCAGTACGTTATCATCAGAAGGGATAATCACCTTACTGAGAGGCTGGTGTTCCGTGGTACCGGCCACTAACACCAGTACAAAGGGAACAGTATCTAGATCGTGCGAACAGCAGATCTCATCGGACAGCCTTTTTACACGGCCATGTCCGTAACGTCTGGGCATGTACCAGATGTTACCGCTTCACTGCTTGGAGGCGACCACCCAACAGGAGCGACGAGCGCGTGACGGCGGTCCGCATCGAACCCCGCACGGGCTCGACAACCGCGATCAGCGCATCGGCGCACGTAAGAGTTCTCCCCCGGCCAAACCCCGACACCGAATAAATAAAAAGTCTTCCAGCTGATGTCAAGGCTGGCCGGGATCGACCAATAAAAGTACGCCGTCAACGCGTCTCGCGACTCTTCGACGTTCTCGATCCGAGCAACCTGTTCACATACAAACGCAGTAGGTTACGCACAAAGCTCGCCCCCAGCCAGGTCAACACGCCGCATGACTCAAAAGTCTTCTTGCGACTGTGAAGACAGGCAGGGTTCGAACAATGTAAATATCCCACACGCGCACCTTACAACTTCCGCGCAACGAGCGCGACACCGGAATGCCAAATAATCTAACAGGCCGGTCTTGGAAATGGACGAGCTAATAAACTATATTTGCTCTGCATAAACAGTTTCCGCAGCGTCGAAGTGTCTACCGCATTTACCGCCGCATTCCAACACCCGCTACCCATTCATGAAAAAGCCGCAGTTTGTACAGCGACGGGCTGACCCAACGCACAACAGTTATAGGCCGCCGACGGCCATGCCACTGCCATAATTTCTAGGCTTCCCGGGCACGTACCCGCCGACGTGAACCGTACGTTTTCCTGGGCCAAACTCGCATCTGTACAGGATAAAACTATGAACAACTCGTCACATCCTCGCAAGACCGCCACTCCCATCGTGCAGCTCTTCACTGCACGAGCACAGCTCTTTCCCCACCTAGCTGTCTTTTCGGGTGTATCTCGAAACAACCCATTCTTATTTGAACCCTTCTCGTTTTAACCCATTCGCAAAACGCCCTTCTCGTTTTAACCTTTCGCGTTTCGACCCTTTCTTATTTATACCCGTCTCATTTGAACCCATTCTCATTTGAACCCTACTCGTCTGAACCCATTCGCAAAACGCCCTTCGCGTTTTAACCTTTCGCGTTTCGACCCTTTCTCATTTGAACCCTTTGTCATTTGAACACCGTAGTGAGGTATAGAGTAAGAAAAACAGTTAAGGATGAAGGTTGAAGATGAAGCGAAGCGGCACCATCTCTTGCATAGCACATGAAAGAATTTTCCTTTATGCATGCGTGCCACCCCGAGTCTGTTGACGTACTATAGCTACGTGGTCACATGGTGACGTGGTTTCAAAAGTGCTAGCGCAGATTCGGTACTTCATTTCTCTTCTGCAGCTGTACGTCGTAAGATGTAGTCGTGTGGAGCGGATGGATCATTGTGCTAGTCGTGTGTTATTGCTTGTAATGGCCAATTCGGGTGTTCATTTTCCCTGAAAAAAAGTTTTCCCATATCTTCGGCAAGGGCGTTCGCGTGGTCAAAGGCTGGCGGGTGCAAGCTTTTCGGGTTGCGCTTCTCAGGCGTGTACCGGCAATTTACCAGCAGAAGTTTTCCCGAGCTCCACGAGGTCGGGCAGCTTGTCTGCCAGTTTGTATCTAGTATCGTCACATACGAATCGAGATAGGGAACCAAACGAAACAATGATCGCTGAGGCGGCAAATAGCGGGTTCGAGTGGCAAACGAAGCCATCGAGACAGGCACCCTTTTGTGCTCTGAGACAAGATAGCAAAAACAACGAAGAGAAATATAATTTATGTTTCAAAGAAAGTCAACATTTTTGGAAGAATCTATCCAGCCTGAGCAAGGTATGTTTGCTCTGAGACACGGGCTGCATCATACATCACTTTATTTTACAACTCTGTAACAACAAGTTATTACACCGCTGAAAAAAAAAAGTATGCATAGTGATGCAGTTTGAAACTTGAACACGCATTACAATTTCAAGGAGGGTGGGTGCGATGAGAAGACTGAGGATTCCAAAAAGGTACTAGAGAGTTTTAGTAGATCGTTCCGATACCCCCGATAACGATGCCATGCATGCGCAAGGGAGGCGATGGCGGAGTATCGGGTACCGTTATCGGAGTCATGGGAACGATCTACTAAAACTCTCTACTAACAGTAAACACAATATGGAAAGCGACGCTGGCAAGCCTCCGTGGCAACAGTTAATCGAAAATCCAAACGAAGTTTATTGAAATTTGACACGCGTGCGGGCAGCACAACACTGATTTATACATCTGCCCTTTCATTGATTTTATATTTTAATATTCTGTCAGCTGTACGGAGTGTGGTAATGCCAATATTTTGAAAAGGTTTGTGTAACCGCTTCTGTTTACACACATCTCAAAGAGTCGTAGTTTATGTTGTTGGCGTATGCAGCATGCTCATGGTACCATAGAATCATCAAAGAAGAAGTTAACAGAGCTCACTCGCGACCCAGTCAAATAAAAACGCCAGTTCATTGTGCTTTGGATTCGCGTGGAGAGTGTCACGTGATGCGCCGCTGGCGCGTTCTTGGTCGCCGGTGCCACAGGCAAAGGCTCGAAGGCAATTAATTACCCGAATTCGCCATAAATACCGCAGAAAGATTGCGAGATCATGATGTTGGATTAATTTGGGTTCGAAACGAGAGAGGTTAAAATGAGAAAAGTCTTTCTGACAATGTTCAAAACCAGAAAGTATGTTTTGAGAAAATTTGAAATGAGAAATGTTAAAATGAGAAAAGTCGTTTTGAGAAGGGTCCAAACTTGAAAGTTTGTTTTGAGAACGGTTTAAATGAGAAAGGGAGAAACGCGAAAGTTGTTTTGCGCTGGGTTGAAATGAGAAGGTAAAAACGAGAAGGTAGAAATGCGAACGGGTTCAAATGAGAACGGAGAAAGAAGAAGACGCCGTTCTGAACGGACGTTGTTTTCAGCTCGCTCCGAAAATCGAAATCGGCTATGGTAGATAACGCTGCAGCCACGTTTGCTGCAGCTCTACGCAAAACCTGGTCCCAACCTTCGGCTGAACCAGGTTCCGCAACGCCTGCAACTACCATTCCACCATGGTTCCAGCTGGACCCAAGCCTGGTGACGATCACTGCCACACCAACACCTTCAAGCCGGCCAGCTCTAGGCCCGCCACAGGGTATGTTGAACTCGTGGAAGACTGTGCTAGGCCGCTACCTTGACCAAACGTCCGATGCAGACATACACGCCTGCCTCCAAAGCGCTATTTCGGAACTCCGTTCTAAACGGGCTTCGAAGGGCGTCACGGCAAGGTCACAGCGAAGCAACGCTACGCTGAATCGTCGGCCTCACAGCAAGCATGGTAATATCTTGCAGGGAACTCCACCAACAGGAGAAAAACCGCAAAGCGCAGGTGCGGCGGAAAGTCTTAGAGCATCTGAAACCGTAAACATGGAAACGACGGAGCAGCCGACGACGACGTCTACCACGCAGAACTCTGTCGGCGTCCCTTCGTCGGAAGACGCGACGGCAAGCTCGTCGCTTGCATCCTCAACTGACGTCGAGAAAACAGCAGCAAATCAAGATGCTGGAGGTCTACGGACGACAGTTCTATCCAGAAAGGCGACAAAGAGAGCTCGCCTGAGTGCGCATCCAGTCCCAAAGACCGGACAGAACTCGCCAGCCCCTAAAGCTCGTGAGCGCTACTTCGTCACTCTGCGTCCGCGCAGCAAAATAGACGTCACAGCCCTCCCCAAGAAAGGACTAATGGAGACCATTACGTGCCCTCTCGGTCTCAAGCCAGAGATGGTCTCCATTAAGACCACCAAGGAAAGCAACACCATCACAGTCCTGACGGAGTCCGAGGCCACAAAACGGGCACTACTGGGCATCACGGAACTCCAAATCACCGATCAACAACCCCTAGCCTTCCGGGCGTACGAAACCATCGGGGATTGTCAAATCCGAGGGGTCATCTACAAGATAGATAAAGGAGAAGACAATGCTTCTCTTCTAGCCGGACTGCAATCCAATGGGCCAGCGGTACTGGCAGCTCGACCAATGAGCCGCGGAGGCAGAACCGGCCTTATCACCTTCCAGGGACCCCATCTCCCTCGAACCGTTTGGTACAGACGAAACGTCCTGGAGGTATATCCATACAGGCCACGAGCTGTGACATGCAGCAACTGCCACAAGATCGGTCACAAGCAGGACATCTGTCCCGAGCCTCAGGTTTGCTCCACGTGCGGCAAGCCCCACGAAGAGACCATGGACGATCAGGGCCAAGGGACCTGCCCTTCCCCCATTCCTTTCTGCCAGATGTGCCGAAAGAATGGGCACCTGGCCACGGACAAGTACTGCCCAAAGAGAATCGACATTGTTCGCAGGATCCGGGAAACGGCGCGAAAGCGCGCCGCTCCCCTGAATAATTCGGGCAGATCGAAACACACTGAACAGGCATTTCAGGCGGAACGGAAGGGCGGTCGCCGATCCGCTCCACCCAACCCTCCTGAACCAAAAACCACCCCTCCCGCACCAACGGCGACGGTCGATCAAGTACTCCCCACCATGCAGGGGCTTTCAGGTTTCCAGGTTTTCATGGCCATCGCTGCCCAAATGGGCAATGCGATGCAGAGGAATCCTAACCCCCAAGCATGGCAGTAACCATTATTCAATGGAACTGCCGGGGCCTGCGGCTTCGCGCTGCAGAACTTGACATCAAACACAGCAATAGACCACAAGAACGCCCAGATGCTTACCTCCTGCAAGAGGTCAACTGCACTACTATAAAGCTGAATGGCTTCAAGTCCTACGCAGACCCCTCAATACCTTCCGTACGGGCAGACCGAGTAGGACAAGCCATGATATACCTACACAGGGACTGGCCACAACACCAGGTCGACCTCCAACAGTGGTGCACGAAACACCAGGAAGTAGTGGCTGTCCGAACAGCCCAACAAAACACTCCAGTCATCCTGGTGTCTGTATACTACCGGCCTGGGGCTTCCCTCAAGGAACCCAGAGACCATGGATGGATTACTCATCTCGACGTTCTTTACCCGGGAGAGCAGAAGATCGTCGGAGGCGACTTCAACCTTCAACACACAGCGTGGGGCTACGCCCGAGACACCTCTGCTGGTCGAGATCTGATGGATGAAATGGTCCACCACCGATACACCCTCATGAATACCCCAGGAGAGAAGACACGCCTAAGCTGGAGCATTAGGCAGAATCATACCACGTCTGACCTCACCTGGACTAACAACCCGCACACGACGAGCCACACCTGGAAGCCGGAGGCAGACGCTCGTGGGAGTGATCACCTACCCATCAGGATAGGCCTGGCACTCACCGGTCCGGCGGCTCTGGAACCTGGGAAGCGGCTCGTAAGAGTGGTAAACTGGGACATCTACCGGAACCAGCTGGAAAACAGCAAGGCACCCACTCTCTGCGACGCCATCAAGGAAGCCATCGAGGCTCCGACTACCAAAAAACAAGTAAAGCTCCAATACCCCACCCCAGATCTTCGTTTGTTGAACCTCTGGGCCCGACGGCTGAGAGCGCTACAACGCTACAGGAGAGGCCCGAAAAATGCGAGAGCTCTGAGGGAGGTCACCCGAGCCACTATAGCAGCTCGCAAGTATGCGGAGCAGCTAAACCGGCAAAGGTGGCTGAACTTTAGTGCCTCGCTCTCCGAAAAGACATCAATTCGCAAGCTATGGGCAGTCAGTAGAGCTATGCTGGGCCGGAAGAGAGATCGCGCGGCGACACTCACGCTCGCACTCACAACAAACAAGGCTGTGGAAACATTGGCCCAAGAGGCTGGAGACACGCTCTTCCCACAACCAACAGCGACCAACGTCATACCGACGGCGGAAAACCTATATGAACGGGTCATCATCAACGAACCAGATCCCATGAATCTACCTTTCACCATGGGGGAAATGGAGGAAGCACTGCATCGCGGGAAACCTAACAGCGCTCCAGGACCAGACGGAATCACCACCACCATGCTCCGAAACCTTCCCCAAGCCGCAAAGACCACGCTCCTCGAAAACATCAACGAGGTGTGGCACTCCGGCAACATTCCAGATCAATGGAAACTTTCCACGGTTATCCCAATCCCCAAGCCCGGCAAAGAGCAGAACAACCTAGCTAATTTCCGTCCTATCTCTCTCACCTCATGCGTCTGCAAGCTAGGAGAAAGAATGCTACTTTGCCGCCTTTCCTGGCATTTGGAACATACAGCAGCCTTTCATGCGGCCCAGACAGGTTTTCGGACAGGCATGGGGACGCAGGAAAGTCTCCTCCTACTCTCCCGAGATCTCATCCCGAAGCCCATTCCACAAAAATTCAACATCCGAACAGTCGTCGCGATCGATGTGAAGAAAGCCTTCGACAGCGTCCCACATTGGGCAGTCATCCAAGAAGCGCAAGTACTCGGCGTAGGAGGCCACGCCCTTAACTTCATCAAGTCATTTCTTCAGGGCCGCACCTTTGCGGTCCGGATTGGCAAGCACCTTGGAGCACCCAAGCCAAACGAAGTGGGAGTCCCACAGGGCTCTGTTCTGTCCCCACTCCTCTTTAATTTGGCAATGGCGCGCCTCCCTAATCGACTCCAACAGGTTCCCAACCTTCGATTCACTATATACGCAGACGACATCTCACTCTGGACAGTACGCGGTGACATTCAACAACAACAACGGACCCTTCAGCGTGGTCTCGACGTCGTGGCAAGTCACCTTCAAAGCGTGGGTTTAACCGCCTCGCCGGAGAAGACGAGATACGTCGTCGTAGCCCCCAAAAGGGAAAGAGATGCAGACGTCAGCTCTCGTCTTCACTTGACCCTCGACGGCCGCCCGATCAAATCGGCGAATTCGGTACGAATTCTAGGACTTTATTTTCACGAAGACGGCACCGCCAAGACCTGGCTGACAACGGTCACCCAGCAATGCCAGGCGGCCCTCAACGTCCTAAGAAGGCTTTGTGGCACCAGAGGTGGTCTTGACGAAGAGGTGGCTCGCCGAATGGTGAGAGCCCTCATCGTATCCAGAATCTGCTATGGCGCCCTCCACTACAGAATCACGAAGACAGAGTGGAAGAAACTGGAAGTCCTAAACAACAACGCAGCGCGCGTTATCACCGGCCTTCCCCGTTACACCCCGCTAAGCATACTCAAGGCACACGCAAGGCTCAACACGGTTCAGGAAACCGTGGAAGAGCGCGCCCGTGCTCACCTAGAGCGACTTCAGCATTCAGCCCCCGGACGTCAGATCCTGGAAATGATAGGCTCTGACAACCGAGCCCTTCCCTCACTTCCGAAGATTGATCCCCCCTGGAGTGACGACACTTGCATCGTGGACGACCGACCGGTACCCAGGGGAGCGGGACCCAGCCGTCCTGACAAGCAAGCATGCCAAGTGCGTCAACATTGCAAACCCGTCCAAGAATGGACGGACACCAGTGAAAGACTCGCAGTCTATACTGACGCTGCCTTCGTCTCCTCCCCCACGCCGGCTTGCTCCGTCGCGGTCGTAATTCCCCGCCTAGAACTTTCTATGGCGGAGACATTGCCCGGCGGCACATCGGTTAAGGGTGGAGAACTTGGAGCCATCCAACTTGCGCTACGCGTCATCATAGATGAGGGGGTCCGGCCCAAACACCACCACATTTTTACTGACTCTGCGGCAGCCCTCACGGAATGCCGCAACCGTCAATCACCGAACAAGAGGGTTAAGGCGATCCGGCGGATGGCCTCTCAGCTGCTTGTTGACGGAACAACCATCAAAGTGTCATGGATACCCGCCCACGCGGACATACAGGGCAATGAACAAGCTCACTCTAAGGCTCGCGCGCAGCTAGATATCCCCCGCGAGCCGAAGAGTGTGCAAAGTCACTTACACGACCACAGGTACTCGCTTGCGCCGGAGCTCGGTCAAGACGGCGATGAACCAGACTACGACCCCGAGGAGGCGAAGCAAATAGGCAAACAAACCTCGAGACAGACCTTGAGGGCGGCCTTGATTCCCTGTGTAGATCCGCTCCCGAGCGGGTTAGGCAGGGGAAACACGGTGCTGCTCCGGAGGATTGTAACAAACACAACATGCACACCGGCGCGCATGGCACGTTGGTCTGCGCGACACACAGCACCCCACTGCACTTTCTGTAACGACCCCGTCATCCCTGTCGACCAGTGCCACCTCCTTTGGGCTTGCCCAGAGTTGGACGAGATCAGACGGAAACACGTACCACCAGACGTCACCAGCTTTGAGGAATGGACTCATCCTGAGGGTCCTTCCGACAAACGTCGAGCTGTCATGAACACTCTTTTGGATTTTATCCACAAGGCGAGGCTGACAGCCTATCTATCTGTAAGTCCCCAAAACCCCCTTCCCCGGCCTTGACCCAAGCTCGTAAGCTACCGGTCTGATCCCCACCCTTCCTTCCCTAAGGCCAATAAACGCTTTCTGAACCTGAACCTGATCAAATGAGAACCACCCGTCTTTTCTGCCCTAAATTTACAATTTCACTCAAGTCCAGAGGCCAGATTCATAAAAACCCTCTTACCTACGACATCTTAGCTACGATGTTCGTAAAGTTACGATCATCGTAAGATGAGGCAAGAACGGTATTCACAAACGCCTTCTTAAGTGAGAGGAGGAAAGTTACGACCTCTTACGGAGAAACGATGACTTCCGGTGCTGTTGCTATGGCAACGGCGTTTCGGCAAAACGAACAACCAATTAGAGAGCTAGGCATAGTTCGGAGCACGTGGATTTTTAATAACAAACACAGGCTAACCACTCGTTGAAAGACAGCTCTGTGTATGTCCTGTACCGTCTGTGTGTAAATGTTTAGTGTTCAAGCTGATTCTCATAAACACGGGCGGCCTTTCCACCACCGCTTGTCTGGGGTTCGTGTCCGTGCAGTAATATATCGACGGTAACACGATTTAAACGCTTCGTTGACTGCTACAAACTCGATCGCTATGAAGTCAACACAACTGTCATCGTTTGTAAAAGCCCCGTGCAAGTCGTTTGCAAAGCGACGTAGATGGAAAAAACCCTCCGCGGCGTTCCTCGCGGCCTCGGAAATGCAGGAGTGAGCCGACGTTAAAAAATATACGTTTGAACTACGAGAGTGTCAGCAAGAGTCACGCAAATACCTGTTCACACTCGGAGCGGACGCGTGCGTTTGATCGAAGTGCTGGATTCAGACTACGTTTCGGTAAGCACTTCGGGACCGATCTTCTACGACTGCAACTCGATACTGACGTGACACTCGGCAAAGAAAGTTTGGACCGGCATCGCGTAGCTCCCACAAACTGATATAGCTCGACAGTTAAAAGTGGCATACTAATAACAAAGTGTACATACCGTGTTGCGAAGGTAATCCACACGGCGTTTATTTGAGCTCTATATCACACAAAACAAGGAGATAGAATCGAGGAGTCCCTTTTCGACGACAGCGTTCGTCACCGCTGCCTCGGAAAACAAGGTGATCGAGATGATAAGGGGAATAGGTTGACCTTTGAAATTTAGTTCAGCTATCAAACTATTCAGCTATCAAACTATTCATACGGAAAGAGTCCACAAGGGTCGCGCGGGCATATTTCATTCAGCAAGCCAGCCGGTCGTGGGCAGACGGTCTTGGCCAAGGACCGTCTGAGCAATGCTGCGCCGGAACGGGTCGGAGTGCCTGCTAGGCCTATATATTCTGCCGAGCTCGCTTGGTCGGTGGGATCGTTGCCTTTGTTGCCTTTTCCGGGTGTCTGTGGATCCAGCGTTCATGTTCGTCGTGGTCGGCTTCAAGTACTTCTTCATTTTTTTTTTCTTGCTGCTTGAAGTCGGGACGCGCAAGAAGAGCAGGTAGAAAAATAAATGTCCGTTGGGTCGTCGCGACCGAGCAACTGAGCGACGTTGTCGGCCATGTTAATTTGATCGTAGAAAGTGCGTAAGACAGCTTCGGAGCTGTCGTAGGATTCTGTCGTAACCTGCGCAAAAGTTACGACAATTTCGTTTCGAGAATACGGATTTTCTCTCAAATTTGTCGTACGCATTTTTTTCGTCGTACGTTCGCTTTGAGAATCCGGCCTCAGGTCTCTGCCCGACCAATTACGCTCCCTACGCCATCGCATCCCAACGCGAACCCAACGCGAATAAATATTTATTTATTTTTATAAAAAAAATAAATAAATATTCAAGCAGTGTTGGGAAGTGCTCTAAGTACATGGTACTTAAAGTACTACTGTTTAGAAAACTTGTACTTTACTTGAGGTAGATTCTCTGGGCATGTACTTGTACTTTCCGAGGAAAGTAAAACTTCCTACTTCAATGTACATTCCCCGAATTTGAAAACAAAACAATGGCGTATCGTCGTGTGAAAACGCGCTGTTTCAAGACGTCATATGGTCATTTCTCTGAGTGAAGTAATGGCGGCTATAAGACCGACACAAATGAGTGGCTTATAAGTGGATTGTGTCAAATAGCTCGTCAGCGAGAGTAAAACAACTTCTTTGTGGCGATTTGACTTTATACAATATTTGCTGCCATTTCCGTAAAAAAACTGATGCACCTCCGATTATCTCTGGAGCAATCCGTTCGTTAAAGGAGCACTGTAAGGGAGTGAAAAAGCGTCATGAAAGATTCTGTTAAAAGTACTGGTACTCTACCTTGAAATATATTGTATTTATAGTATGTTACTTCAAGTACATTGCAAACGGCGTACATACTAATTTACTTGAAATATACAACCTCTACTTTACATTGTACTTTACTTCAAGAACTTTTTAGATGTACTTTACGCAACACTGTAAGCAAGCAAACACTGGCTAAATATTAAGCTCAGGCCGTGCTAAACCTCAAAGTAGAAATGACACATCTGCCGTACATCATTGACCAAACAAACAAGAAGGTACAAAACAATTAGGCACGCAGAAGCAGAACCAGCTATAAAATCATTTCTTTCAAAAAACAATCCGACCCATATTTGGGTAGCACAATTACGCTAACGAATCAAAACCTATGTACTTTCTTTTTACCATAAAAAACACATATAAAAGTAACTTCAAAGTAACTTCAAAAGTAATTCGCTACTTTTTACGGTAATTAGTAATTTTCTTAATTACTTTCCATTTGAGTAATTTCTACTCTACTCAAATTACTTTTAGGTCAATATTCAGTAACTTAACTTAATTACTTTTTTTAGTAACTTGTACATGTCTGACGTATGCTGCTGCTTCAATATTATTGGGACAATTTCAGGAGTGGGATAAAAAAGAAAGAGATAATATCATACAAACAAATGATTGAACAAAATCAGAACAGGTTCAAAACAAGATAGAATAGACAAGAGCAATGAAAGGCAGTCAGAAATTGCTTTAAATAGGCCATGCAATGATATTGGGTTGGGAACATAATTAGTTTACACAAACGTAATGGAATTAATGTGACCCAAGTACACTCGCATGAAATGCCACTGACGAGGCGCTTCATTATGGTATAAGTTAATTCAGGGACAAAAGCAAACTATTAATTTCAGTCTCTGTTTTGCAGAACTGGATGACATAGTCACGTCGATTTCGGTGCTGTTGTAGGACCCATGGAAACAAAAGTCCAATGCGGCTCATGGTTTAACACGAGCACTGCGTAGGCGCTTGATTTGTGCATATGGCAGTTATTGCCTCGGCAAATATTTGGGTAGTGATTCGTGTAAGTACAATCACTACTTATACAAGAATAGGCAAACTTCAACCATGTCTG